AAAATGGAATTGAGTGTATTTTCTGTGGGTTTCATACATATGTTTACAGTGCAGCTATATTCTGCTTTGAAGCTTCTCCATTTCCAGGTTTTCCCCAGAACCAATTTTATTAAACTTTTCCTGTGCTGTGTCTGTAATTAAAGCAAAATAAAACCAAAGGGGAAAAAATTCCCAAACGAGGTCATATCGTTTCTGCAGCTAGCATACGCTGCGGTGTGCTAGCAGCAGAGGTTTTTTCAGAGGGTTTTTTTTTCCCCCAGAGATTTTATTTCTGTAAGCTTTCTGAGCTTACTTTTCTCCTTATGTGAAATAAGAAACTACCCAGCTTTTAAGAGCATCATCTCATGTGTAAAGGTGGATTTCACTAGACAGCAGAGGTTGTTACTTCCCCTTTGTTTACCCTGTCCCCTTCACCTGAACTGAATAGCTGGATTGTACTTGAAGTAGTTTCTGAAAAAGGCAAGAGGCAAACATTCAGTGCAGTAATTGCTTTGGCTATCTGACTTCAGTTTGCCACCGTTCTTGCATCAGGATGGTAAGTTTATGCTGGGCTTTTGTGACCTTGAGGATGATTGCTTGCAGTATTTGTTAAAACAGAGAAGTACTTGGATGAGGATGCTTCCTCTGCACTTGTTGAAGCTCTCCCCTCTTTTTGGTGTAAACGTGCATCCAAACATGCGGTTTTGTTTTGCTGCTGCTTAGAAATGAAAATAGACACAAATATTCAGTGTTAGTTGGAAGGAAATGTGAAATGGCATTTAAATTCTGTCCATGGAAAATATAAACTTTCAAAGCTTCTTTGGAGGAGCTTTCTGTACTGCAGACATTGTCCTGTCCTGCTTGCTTCATACAGGCTCAAGGGCTCTGAACCACTGTCTGCTAACAAATGAATAAAAATTATCTCTGAATATGGTTCATTTCACTGTTGTCGAATGTGTAGCTTTTGGCCTATTGGAGTCCAAATACTGCTACTGTATTTTTATATGATAAATTGAGAACTTTATTTATTAAAATAACTGGTTTACTGTATAATGAGGTCTCGATTACTGTTACTTTTCATGTTATGGATTTAAAGGGCTAGTTATTGCTGTTCTCCAATTGCAGAGTATCTTCAATTATTTGTTAATCTTCTAAACGCTTCTGTTACGTATTTGATAGGTGGTACTGAGTTAGCCAGGTTTGGAGATTAGTGATTTACAGCTTGTTTTCGATCCCGTGGGCCTTAGTGAGGCTCCATACAGGTAACAGCAGATTTTGGCTTCATAAACTGAATGCGGTGTATTTGACTGTAGACAAATAAGTCTTATAATTTATAGAGATTGTTTTTAGTTTGCTAGATGATAAAGCAAGCAGTATCCAGAGCCAAAAACTCTGGTGGTGTTTTTTAAAGCTGCGCTTTGCATCATGCAATATTCAGCATGTTTTTGCCTGCTTTATGAGCTAGAAGTCTGAATTGAAGCTGTAGCTCCGTTTCCTCTGTTCATGCCTGACCTAACACAAATGTCATTGAACACCTTTTGCTGTGTTTTTTTTTTTTTCTGAAGTTTTTGTAGAGGCGTCTACATAAAAATATAATTGCCACTTTACCAAAGATGAGTAAATAATGATACATACAAGAAACGTACAGTTTTAATAATCTCCTTTGATCTGGGGTGGGGTCGCAAGCTAGCCAAAATAATTTCTTCCTCCCTTCCCTCCTCTTCCCCCACCCCCCTCAAAGATCTACTACATGTTCTTTAGATGGATGTAATGCATTAAAACTATGCAGTGCCTGGTGGGAAGAGCTAGGTTTCCTGATGGCCCAGACTTTGTACTCTGTGAATAACGAATGACCCCAAGTCAGAAAGAGGGAGACCCTGGTGCAGCCCTGAAGCGAGCCTTCGGCCCCGTGTCAGATGCACCCGCTGCTCTCCTCCTGCTGGTTTTTGGTTGCTTTTTAGCAGAACTGAGTGCTGGGTGTTGTTTCTAATTGGACATAACGTAGTACTGACATTTTAAAAAGTATACATGGATGATATTCACCCAAAGGATGATGATACTATCTTTGGAGATGCTGATACAATTTTTGCTGGCACAGACTCATTTAGTGATGAATCGCAGTAATAGCAGTTCAAGACCTACAGCGTATTAGTGAAAATGAATCCACTGAGCACCAGTCCCATGGCACTACAACAGCACTTAAACAACACTGATTTTCTTGAAGGGAGGAAGATCTGATTGAGAGATTAAGCTGTTTTTTGCCAGCCATTTGTGTTTGTTTCTTGATGTGTGTTATTGTAAGGAATTTAATACACGTAAGAAAACCAAGAGTTAGCTTTTGCTATAAACACAAAACATTGCTTTTTGCTGTAGTACATGGAAGGCTTGCATGTGCTTTAGTAAGCAGAGGTGCAACAGTAATACTTCTTTCAATCTCTTGTTATAAACTGACAAAACACTTGATTAAAAAGGGGGAAAAGATGAATAGCCTAGCACTGACAAGTTACCTAATGGTTAGCAGGGACATTAGTTGGTCACTCTGGCAAAAAATATTGTAGAACTGAATACAGTTATAGGGAACATTATTACAATAAAAGGATGGGACAACCGGTTTTTGAATTTGAGGGAAATAGGGGTGAAGATATAGTCCATGTCAATGACGCAGTGGTGCTCTGCATGACAGCAGAATGTCCTTTCAGCTGCCAGCGGAGGAGAGAAATGTTCCTTGCGTGTGGGTGCCATCTAGCCTCTTTTAAGATCACCTAGGCTGGGGGGAAAACAAAACTAAGTACAACTAGATGGATCTAGAAAATAATTCTTAAAACAAGAGAACATACACAAGTAAGTATCTGCTGTCAGCACCTTCCCCTTCACTCCTGGGCTCTATAGCCATCATGTCTAGCTGGGAGGAGGAGTGTTGAGGACGTGCCTGGAGAATGTGGAAGTGCAGCAGAAAGTGAGTTAAGGAGGAGAAGCCTTTGGGTGCTCTTGAAAAGAAACAAAGCCCTTATCTGAAGTCTCGCTTTGGTTTGTAGATGATGTGCCTCCAATTTTTATGATTAGCCTCTGCCACTGGTCTAGCTGCCACTAGTGTGATTCACAATTAATGTCAGCTAACCAGTAAAAACATTTTAACAGCCTCTTCCACACAACAGGACATGTTTGAAATGATTTCAAAATGTGCGATGCGTCTTTAAGTGACGAAGAAGGATCATTTTACCGTTGCCAGGGAAGCCTTCATGGTGGGGAAGAGCAGAAGAGTAATAAGTAGCCTCTTTGTGATCAAATATAATTAGTGTTGCAGAGTAAATTTAGGAGAGAAACTGGCTAGGGCTTTGTCTGGTTGACAGCTTCAGAAGGATTACCTGAAGACATGAGTTTGGGCAAGATCTCCTTTGTGCTGAAGGCATAGGTGCAATCCTCATGCTGGCTAATTCAAAAGGATCTAATTAGATGAAGAGGAAAAAAATGTATTTGGGGGCTTTGCTCTTGACTCTTTAGGGAAAGGGTGAAAACTGATATGAAAATGTAGGGAGGGAGCACTGGTATTTAGAGCAGATGACTGTTATATGTGTGTTCACACACACGCACACACACACACACACGCACACACACACACACACGCACACACACACACGTGGTTCCAGATGGGCAGGTGATGAGTAATGGCGAAATATCTTTCTATAGTTTGTGATTTGACAAGCAGCATGTCGCTTCTTTCTAATTCTGTTGTAATTTCTGTAAGTTAACAAAATCAGAGAGATACTGAATTATTCAAAAAAAGAAAAAGTAGTAAGTCCGTGTTCCTTGCAGCTAGAGGAAGAAGCTTCCCAGCCTAAAGATTCAGGCACTAACAAGATCTTCTAAAAATAACATAACCATCTGTAAAACAAACTAAAAATGGTAAGGCTGTGTTGACAACGCTGTCTAACAGTTGAGATCACTTCTAATGAAATGTTTAGGATTAACAAGGTATTTTCTACACTCCTAAAAAAGAGTTAACTCTAAAATGTACCTTTTTGACTGAGGTTAAAGTAGGTACTGCTTCAAATAGAGTACCAAGAGCTAGGGCTTTTTACTTTCAGCATCCAGGTTTCTTCTGTCACATTATGATTTCATTACAGAAGTTTTTAAGGACACAGGAACAGTGCGCACACATTCTGTGCAGTGACTGAATAAAAATTAGCAAGTTAAGGCAAGTAAGTCTGAAATGTTTCTGTTAAGATAATGTAAAAGAGAAAAGTATAGAAGTTGAAATATCTGCTTAAAGACTAAATTTTGTAATGTGTTGTAATAACTTATTTGGAATGCAGGTAGGTTGATTTAAGTAATGTCAGGTAAGGATGAACAAAACTGCTCAGGAGTTTGGCATGTACCAGATGGTGTGAACGCTACCGAGGAGACTTGATATTGTAACTTTTCATTTAATTTTGTACTGAAAGAAATACGATTAAAAATGCAGAAGCTGAAAGTAAAACAAACAAATTCATATGCCATTAATGGGATTATATTAAGAGTTGTAATGATATCCCTTAATCTTAAAAACGTCAGTCTCTTACAGAATTATGATTTTCTGCCGCTTTTTATGCCTTGTGAGGTATTGTGGTTAACACGAGCGGCTGATGTAAAAGCCTTCCGGATAATCCTGTCTTTGAAAACGGTTCGTTCGGTGCGTGCTAGAGAAGAGGGGTGCTAGCTCTGTGCCGGTCGGGGGCGTTGATTCGTGAGAGCGACCCACGTTTGGAACAGAAAAACTGGTACAACGCTTTCGTTAAGTAACTGCCTCAGTATATTCAACTAGAAGTAGCAGGTATCAAATCTGCTAATTTTATGGGCAGCTTTCTGCAGGACTGATCTCCGAAGGAGGAAACATTAGTACCCGTGAGAAATACGAAGTGCAACTTGTTAGCGTACTGTGGAGGAGTGCACGACCGCTGACACAAACTTACATCCACAAACTCGACTTGCTTTCAAAAGAGAAAAAAAAAAAAGGCATTTAAAACGCAGTAGCTTGTACTCACCCTTCTCTGTGCGCTTCTCCTTTCTCTAGCTCCTGTATAACCCCCAACAACACTTTTATGGTTTCCTGACTAGAGCTGATCAAACTCTCCATCATCTGAAGCTGTGCTTTCAAGTCCACCACTTCGGTGTGAGGCACGATTTGCTGGCACGCCTCGCTCGCCGCCCCCGCCGGCCGACAAGGCTGGTTCTCCCCCGCAGGCCCCACGTTTAGCTGAAGGGTCTGGTCCCGGCATTCGGCCGCCGGGCACTGCGCCGGCGCC